CAGAGTCAGGAGCTGGCTGAATGGACACAGGAAATCAATGGTGGAAAGGAGTGTGCTGTCATAGTATAGGGAGAGCAACTAGGGTCACATAACAATGTATGTATAAATTTTTGTATGAGAGACTAACTTGAATTGTAAACTTTCACTTAAAGTACAACAATTAAAAAACAAAAACAAAAACTTGGTTTAAATTCACCCCTGAGCCTCTGAAGGCATTTTTTAGGCTCTCTTGATTTATGACTACTACCTAGAAGTTGCTTTTCAATAATATGTATTAAATGTGTGAAAGGAATGTGGATTTTGAGAATGAGGAGAGTTAACTAATTTCTAGCAATTTTGATTAGTATCAAGTAACTTAGATACTCTAGACATGTTATCACGAGGATCAGTCCCCAGAGAAGAACATCATGCTTGGTAAAGAGAGGGTGAGCGAAAAAGAGGAAGACCCTCAATGAGATGAATTGACACAGTGGTTGCAACAATGGGCTCAAGCACAACAACAATTATGAGGAGGGAGCAGGACCAAGCGGTGTTTCATTCTGCTGTACATAGTGTTGCTATGAGTTGGAACCAACTAGATAGCACCTAACAATAACAACAACTTAGATATGACAAAACTACTCCCTTAGTAGAGTCTTGGCCATGGAGTCAGCTCTTTTAATTCAGAAGTTCAAAAATAGAGACCTGCAATAATAGAACAATATCTAAACAATTTCCAAGAAGAAACAAAATATAACAGCTTCATGTCAACTGGAATCTCCAGTGCAAAAGTAGGCTGAAGCACTACTAAGCTGTAGGGGAAAGCTAGCTAGCCTAAGAGCCAGTAACAGCACAGGTTAAGACATGCATAGTGTTATGGATTGAACTGTGTCCTCCCAAAATATGTGTTGTAAATCCTAACTCCTATATCTGTGGTTATAATCCCATTTAGGAATGGGTTTTCTGATATGTTAATGAGACAGGATTAGTGTAGGGTGTGTCTTAAATCAATCCTTTTTGAGATATAAAAGAGATTAAAGAAGCAAGCAAGAGAAGCAGAGATGGGGGAAGACGCATGCCAGGCCACATGAAGATTACCCAGGAGCAGAAGCTCAAAGACACAAGGACTATCCTCCAGAGCTGACAGAGAAAAAGCCTTCCCCGAGCACTGGCACCCTGAATTCAGACTTCTTGTCTCTTAAACTATGAGAAAATAAAAATAAATATATGTTTGTTAAAGCCACCCATTTGTGGTATTTCTCTTATAGCAGCAGTAGATAACTGAGACAGATGGGATCAGCAATTTATTCCAAATCTAAGCTAACCCAATGTATAGACTGATATGAGTCCCAGTCTAGAAACCTATCCATTTAGAGTTCCAAATTAACAGTTTACTCAAAAACAACCTGAAGGCCCCAGAAATTAAGCCATTTCTTCACGAGTTTTCTTGACCAGAAGCAATATGAACCAAAAGCACACCCGCTGGGGTAGCACCTGAGAAGCCTTTATAACCTGACAATCTGAAGGAATCAGAGATGGACCCAACCAATCTCTAAGGAAGGCAGTAGAAAAAAGAAATTTTCAGCATGCCAAACTGAACCAAATCTAAGATGTATATTACCAGACTGTTGAATACAAGAACTACACACCTACATGATCCTCATTATAAGCTGGAAAGAAACTGCAAGTAGCAGATTAAAACAGTGTAGGCAAAGCTTTCACTCTTATGAATAAGAAAAGTCTCAAAGGCTCACTCTCCCTATCCCCTCTTTATATTTACAATTTTTTCCTACTTTTCCCTGTGGCTTTCTTGCCACTTAACCATTTTCCCCTTTTCTAGTTGTGGCATTCCTGTTTTTCATCTGAGCTCTCTTAAAGTTCCTTTCTCTGTTCTTTTTCCTACTTACTATCGTAAATACAAGGAGCCCTGGTGGCACAGTGGTTAAGCGCACAGCTGCTAAATGAAAGGTTGGCGGTTTGAACCCACCAGCCGCTGCGTGGAAGAAAAATGTGGCAGTCTGCTTCCGTAAAGATGTACAGCCTTAGAAACCCTATGGGGCAGTTTTATTCTGTCTATAGGGTCACTATGAGTTGGAATTGACTTGATGGCAACAGGTTTGGTTTTTTTTTTTTTGGTATCATAAATACCACTCTAATAAAAGTTACAAAAGAAACTGTAGAATGAAACAAATAAGGCTTTGACAAATTATGTTTGTTGACATGAATATAGTCAACTTTTTTTCTGGCCTGAAATTTCCTAGGTATGTCATAACTTTATGCTAACAACAGAGGAGTCCTCGGGTAGTGCAGACGATTAACGCACTTGGCTGCTAACCAAAAGGTTAGCGGTTCAAGTCTACCCAGAGGCACTTTGAAAGAAAGGCCTGGTGATCTACTTTCAAAAAATCAGCCATTGAAAACCCTATGGAGCGCACTTCTACTCTGACACACAAAGGGTCACCGTGAGTCAGAGTCAACTCAACCACAACTAGTTAACAGAAAAACAAACTATGAAAAAATGCTCAAGTTTTAATGAATATTTTTTGGTGACAATAATGGTACGAAAAAGCAAAGACCAAACTTAATGGAAAGATGTTATATCATCCTGACTATGATATATTGACAGTAATTCATAATTTTAATACCAACAAAATCTTTTACTCAGATTCAAAATACACAGAGATGTAAACATATCAAAGTGCAGCAACTGTCAGTGCTTTATGTTCAGAAATAAATCTGGAAAAAATTAATACTTCTTAACTATTTTTTTCTTTATTGGAAAGCAACAATTCTCACAATAAAAAGACAAATTATTTTTGACAAAAAAAATATGTAATATATTTTTGCCTTATTTCATTCTTTGGATGCATTTAGAGAAGTCCAGGAAGCCATTTTAATCATTCACTCCTTAAGAAGTCTTTACTTAAAGTTCTTTTCTCTTAAAAACAGGAAACAAAGATAGTGGCATGTAATAATATATGTATTGACTACTTACATCAAAAGCTAACCTGTAATTAAAATGAGGCCTAGGAAGTATAATTTTTTAAAGTAGTTTAAATTCATGTCATAAGCTACATGCATATTTCTAAGGTGGTGCATCTCTGTCCCATTTTAATATTATTGCTATTTTTTTTTCTTCCTTCAATACTTTTCACTGAGATCATTTCATTTAGAATGCATTTTTAAAGTAAACTGATGAACTTTAATATAGCATGTCTTTGGCATGAAAGGACATGTCTTAATAACAAGCATGTCACAATCCTACCTACTATAAATATTTAAATTAATATCTTAAGGGCATGAAGTTCACTTGAAAATTAAAAGTGAAATTTAAAAACCCAATCAATGTGACAATTTTTTTTCTCTTGGATCTTTCCTAAAGTACGTAACCTATTAAGACATAAGACACTTAAGCAAAAAATTCCAAGAAAATCACACATTTTAAATGTATACATTTCATAAAATCCATTTAAATATCCATCTTACCAATATCATTAGCAAGTGAATTAGGATCAGATGCCCCAAGGGTGGCTTCAAATTCCTCCTGAAGACGATATGCTCTTTGCAGCAGAGCTTCAAGTTTATGGATAAACTCAGCACTAATAATATCCTGCAAGGAGAGAAAAAGCACACAGAGCAAATATTAGATTCTGAAGTTAAAATTCTAAACATTTTCCATTTTTAAATGAAAGGGAAAGTGAGGGACATAAAAAACTTGTGTCGGGCAGTGGAAAGAGAATACTGCAGTAGAATTCAGGAAGCCTAGGTTCTATCTGAGTCTTTGGTAAAATCAAAGGATTCAGTTTCTTTATCTGTCAGATTTAAGAGTTCTCAAAGTGTGGTCCCTGAAGCAGCAGCATCAGCATCAGCATCAACTGGAAACTTGTTAGAGATTCAAGATCTTGAGATCCACCCTAGGCCTACTGAACCAGCAACCCTGGGGATGAGACCCTCAACTCTTTGTTTTAACAAGCCCTCCAGGTGATTCTGATGCACACTCAACTTTGAGAAATACTGGCCTAGATGGTTAATAAGGAACCTTCCAGTTTTACCTCTATGTGACTTTTATGAATATAATGGCACTTAATTAAACTCAAAGTGCAGAACAGATTTTTAAAAATTTGTATAGAAATCACATCTGCACATTTCTGTATATCCTAGGAAAGTCAGGAAATTTGATGATAAATTGCAAATTTGGTGTTTAATAGCTAACTGAACAAAAAGAAAACAAAGAAATACATCACATAATCCTAAGGGGGGGAGTTCTATTAAATGCCACAGAAAGCAAGTATACTGAATCAACATCTAAAATAATTTGATTCTTCTAATATTATGAAGATTACTCTAAAATAAATTACCCATACATCTACATTTTCTTCAGCAATGGCATCTCCTGCACCCAGTTTAATGGCACTACAATTTGCTTCATCTTCAGCCTGTCTATTACGAAAAGTTAGTGCTTGTTCCCATCGACGCAATGCCTCTTCAAACAATTCCATACCTAAACATTGAGAACAGAAGAGTTGTGAATGAGCAAAACCAATGCTAAAATAAAATCATTTGGATCTGGAATGTTTTTGTACAGTTGTCACTGGTGGCAAAGTCTGACTGTAATTTTTGTACTAAAGAATAATTTTATACTTAACATCATTTCATAGTAGAATCTTAATTTCCCAATATATTCTGGGCCTACAGTTCTAGTCAGCCAAAAATGAGAGAGAAAACAGCCTATATATATATATTTAATGTAATTCAAATGTATATAGTTCTTGGGATTCTTCAAAACAATGTTATGAATTCATCAGAAATAGAATAAAAATAGCTCATTTTTATAATCAAATGACTATCTTTCAAACTATTCCCCTAAATTAAAAAGAAAACTGATAGTAGAAAAAGCGAAGTAGAAGAAACCAGTTTACCAGAAGCTAGCAGGTTTAGAAGAGGTTCTAAGAAGGAGACAGAACAAAGCTGAGAAGAAAGATAGAGCATAGAAGTCTAGAATAAAGTATTTTGCACCATTTTTCCCCAGACAGTGCCCTAAACTATTATGATGTCAATTTGCTGATTTGGATGGATAAATTGCTGCACCAGAGTTAAGAATCCATAAGACTATTGGAAGAACCATAAGATTACAGTTCGAGTAGGAATTCCATACCCTGCCAATAGAAAGCTTCCATGGGAAAATATGCCTCTTTTTCCCCAAATAAAAAAAAAAACTTACAATAAGTAAGTATACATCTCAAATAAAAACAGAATATTTAAAAACTTCAATTTTTCTAGACATATAAATGAAAAAGATCTATAAAAGCTACTTAAGAATCTAAGTCATTCTCAAGATGTTTTTAAGATATCCCAGTTTTTTTTTAAAAAAAAAAAGATATCTCAGTTAAAGAAGACCTCTTCTCTAAAGTCATGAATATATCAGTTATCTAGAGGACCTATAACCTTAAACAAATAAGATGTTCTTACTCCTTGCAGTTTCTGTAGTTTTGCTCCATTTATCCTAAATTCTAACTTTCAATATTCTAACAGAAGCTGTGAATGTAGGTTTACTAGACATAGATGATCTAGAATCACAGAGAGCTTGATTGTCTGGAGACCTTTGGAAAAGGTGGCAGAGAACTACTCTTACCTCTTTCCCCACAGGCAGGAGTATCTACTGTGATGCCTCTAGAGATGGTAGTCTTTAACAACTCTAGAGTATGGGAATGCATTCAGAGGCTCACAGTCCTTCTGCCAAGTTATCTTCCCCTTTACTTTGAATTGTTCAGGGCCACAGTAAAGTTATTTTTTGTTTGTTCGTTTTTAGTGTACATTTCCATCGAAAGAAATACAGCATTGTTCATCAAACGATTTCATAAAAAAGTGAAAAGACAACCTGTAGATTAAGAGAATTTTGGGAACCATATATCCAATAAGGGTCTAATATCCAAAATACATAAAAAATTCTACAGCTCCTTCGGGGGTAGTGAGTTTACATTAATAGGGGAGAACAACTCAGAAAAGGAGGGTGAGACTGGTTGCACAATTCAGTGAATGGGGTCAGTGTCACTGAATTGTACATGTGAAAACTGTTGAAGTGATGTATGTTTTGCTGGGTATATTCTCAATAACAACAAAAAATAAATTAAAAAAAACTTCTACAACGTAACAAAAAGACAACCCAATTAAAAAACAGGCAAAGAATTTGAAAAGACATTTCACCAAAGAGGATATTCAAATGGGAGCATGCACATGAAAAGATAGGCATCATTAGCACTAGAGATGCAAATCAAAACTACAAGGAGATACCACCTCACTCCTATTAGAATGGCAACGATTAAAAAAAAAACAAAAAAAACAGGTGTTGGCAAGGTTGTGGAGAAACTGGAACTCTCATCCACTGCTGGTAGGAATGTAAACTGGTATCAAACCTGTTGCTGTCAAGTCACTTCCGACTCATAGTGACCCTATAGGACAGAGTAGAACTTCCCCATAGAGTTTCCAAAGCTGTAATCTTTACGGAAGCAGATCACCAGGTTTTTCTCCCTCAGAGCAGCTGGTAGGTTCAAACCACCAACCTTTAAGTTAGCAGCCAAACTCTTAACCATTGCACCACCAAGGCTCCTTATAAACTGATATAGCCGCTGTGAAAAAGTGGCGGTTCCTCAAAAAGTTGCACATAGAACAATATGACCCAGTAATCTCAATCCTTGGCATATACCTAGAAGAAGTGAAGGCAGGAACACTAACAGAAACCTATCCACCATTGTTCATTGCAGCACTTTTCACAATAGCTAAAAGGTGGAGAAAACCCAAATGCCCATCAACAGATGAAGGGATAAACAAAATGTGGTATATATACACAATGGAATACTACTCGGCCATAAAAAGAAATGAAGTCTTGATGTATACCACAACATGGATGAACCTTGAAAACACCATGCAGAGTGAAATCAGTCAGTTGCAAAAGGACAAATATTGCATGATCTCACTTATATGAAATAAGCAAATATACAGAAACCAAAGATTATAAATAGTTACCAGGGTGAGAAGGAGGGAGAAAGGGAAGTTTCAGCTTAGGGGACACTGAGTTTATGTTAATAGTGGTGGAACAATTTGGAAAGGAAAGCAAGAATGGCTGTACAACTTGAATGCAGAAATTGTTCAGATGCCATATGTTCTGTTACATATATTTTCACAATAAAATAAAATAAACAAGAATATAGCTTAAAATAAAATAGAAAAGAATAGGGAAAAACATTTGAATCTTCTGATTCAGCATTAAGTTTATCTGGTTCTTCTCCAGGCCTCCAGTGAGGCTCTCTAGAGATGCTCATGCCAAGAGGAACACTGAGATGGGAAACACAAAACACTTTCTTTCTGTTTAAAATCCTCCCTGGATAGAATTAGAACACAAATGTTAGCTACATTAAACAGGTAAGGTGGATTTCAATAGATTCATTAGATAAGCGGGAACAGATTAGGCCAGGTACGTGTAGTAAATTGAACAACGGACTCCAGTGATATTAGGTCCATGTAAATGTTACCTGATAAGGAAAAAGGGTCTTTGCAGATGTGATTAAATTAAGGACCTTAACATGGGGAGAGTATCTTGGATTATCCAAACCTAAATAAAACCCTTGCTGTCAAGTGGATTCCAACTCATAGTGACCCTATGGGACAAAGCAGAACTTGCCCCATAGGGTTTCCAAGACTGTAAATCTTTACGGAAGCAGGCTGCCACATCTTTCCCCCATAGAGTGGCTGGTGGGTTCAAACAGCTGACCTTTTGGTTAGCAGCCTAGCACTTAACCACTGTGCCACCAGAGCACTCTTTGGATTATTCAGTGGGCCCTAAACCCAATAACAAATGTCTTTATAAGAGCAAAGAGAGACTTCATATACACAGAGGAGATGATATGATCATGAAGGCAGAGAGTGGAGTGATGTGGCCACAAGCCAAGAAATGCTCACAGCCACCAGAAGTTGGAAGAGGCAAAGAACAGATTCTCCCTTAGAGCCTCCAGAGGGAGTGTGGCCCTGCTGACACCTTGACTTTGGCCCAGTGATACTGATTTTAGACTTCCGGCCTCTACAGCTGTGGAAGAATACATTTCTGTTGTTGAAGGCCCTAAATTTATGGTAATTTGTTACAGCAGCCTCAGGAAACTAATAGCATGGGTTATGTTATACAAACGGAATTTCACAGATAAAAGAACATTTTAAAATTATAGCTGCTTCCATTAGAACAATACATTATTTTTTAGTTTCAAATTAAATGTGAGCATAATATGTTACAACTCTGACATGTTATTCCTACCCATCAAATATAAGTTCTCAGGAGTGGTCACAGGAATATTAACAAGTTTAATATCATCTTCGTCTGCTTTGTCCCAGGAATTAGAGTTGCCACAAGCACAGCTATGACATGAATTGACACTCTGGACCTAAAATTAAGATCAATAAAAAGTTACTTCAAAATCTCTCTTGTGATAGCATTTTGTGATCTTTTCTATTTACAAATTATTTATAGAAATCCTATTCCTGGTAAAACAATCCATGTGATTTCCATCTGAATAATTCTGGTTTTAAATTCTTATTATATTCAAACTTAGGAGTCCTATGAATCTAAATATGCTGAGCTCAAAAGTATACAAGAAGAACAATATTCTGAACATAAATCAATTATTTCCATAAAAAATCAAGCAGTTATTTTTATATTGCTTACTATTTTATTAAGTATTTGCTTACAAATTTTATCTACACCTACTTTGATTTGAGCTAGCTAATTTTCCTTTTAGAGTTTTTTACAATGCTGACTCTCTGTTAAATGATAACTAAAATTGAAAAGCCTCCTCTATCATATTTGTACATATTCTTCTCTACCAGGGTCCACGAGCCAATCATTTCAATCATCTCTATGCAGATGTCTCCCAAATCTCTACCTCCAGTTCTGTCCTCTTTGGAGAAATCTAAGCTCACATTTTCATCTGCCTATTTGGAGCTCTGGTGGCACAGTGGTTAAAGCATTCAACTGCTAACTGTAAGGTCGACAGTTTTAATCCACCAGCTGCTCCTTGCAAGCCCTATGGGGCAGTTCTGCTCTGTCCTATAGGGTCATTTTAAGTCATAATCAATTCGACAGCAACGGGTTTGGTTTTTTGGTTTCTTAGGTGACTGTACTTTGCTCCTCTGCTGGCATCGCAAACTGATTATTATCAACAAAGGAGTTCAGGATGAACCCCCAAAGCTACTGCCCTGAGACTTAAACCAAAAAATGTCCTCTGAAGTCTTCTTGAAACCAAACAATAGTTTAGCTTAACTAGTAAAAAATGTCTGCTTTGAGCATCATGCTCTTTTAAGAACTATCTATATGGGATCAAAGTGACAACAGCAACTTGAAAGGTTAAACAGGAACCTTAGGGGGCAGTGAGTTTATATTAATAGGGGAGGAACTATTCAGAAAAGGAGGGTGAGAATAGTTGCACAACTTGAAGAATACAATCTGTGTCTCTCAATTGTACATGTAGAAACTGTTGAATTGATGTGTGTTTTGCTGTGTATATGCTCAACAAGAAGAAAATTAAAAAAAAAAGGAGCTCACATCTTCTCACAACAAAAACTTCCTCCTCCCAAGTTCACCAGTAGTGCCTCCATCCCCATAATTTCTCAAACTAGAAAATAGGAAGTCATCTTTGACTTCTTTTCCCACATGTTTCATATCCAGTTACCAAGTTTTGTGGAACCTGCTCCCTCCTTTCCACTCCTGCTGTCATGACCCTAACTGAGGCACTCCTTATCTAATCTCTAAACCACTCAGCGAATTCCCAACTGCTGGATGAAGAAGCTTTTGACCTCTTTCATCCCCAGTCCATCTTGCAATAGGCTGACTGATTTATCTTTCTAAAACACAACTCTAATCATGTTACTCCTCTGCTCAAAAGATTTCAAAAGCTCCTCACAGTCCAGAATAAAGCTAAAAATCTTTCAACTGGCATTCATGATCTTCCATGATTTGATTCTTGTTTGACTTATTTCTTGAATCTTTCATCCCACTTCACTTTCTCATTCATCAAATATGCTACAGTGAAACCTGTATTCACTGTACACTATGCCTTTTCATCTCTAGGACATCACTAGTGCTCCTCCCTCTGCCAGGAATGCTTCCAAAATTGAAGTGAAGGTAGCTTTGTTTGTAAAATCGAGGCAGAATTGTGGGTTCACAACCTTGGCAGAGAAGAGGAATGATAAGGTCAGCTAAGGCAAGTACAGTCAAGTAATTCTAAAGACTTCTTACCCACACTATTATCATGAAACTCTTTTTCTCTACCTCTTGTTATCGTTGGGTGCTGTTGAGTCAATTCTGACTCATAGTGACTCCATATGACAGAGTAGAACTGCCCTATAGGGTTTTCTTGGCTGTAATCTTTACGGAAGCAGATGCCAGGTCTTTCTCTCACAGAGCAGCTGGGTGGGTTCGAACTGCCAACCATTCAGTTAACAGCCAAGAGCTTAATCACTGTACCACCAGGGCACCTTTCTCTACCTCTACTCAAAAAATAGCTTCAACTTCCAGTAGAGAAAATTCAGAGGAAGTCTGAGTTACAAAATGGGCTATATTTCATTCTGCTCAGTTTCACAGAAGGTTGGAAAGTCTGCAGGTCTTTGACTAGATGTTACTACAGAGAATGGGTTCTTTTTAAACTTAGTATATTTTTAGGCAATAAAGAATGAGGCAGCTATATATTCCAATGAAATACAGAAGCAAGGTAAAGAATAGAATATGGCGTTCTACAAATAGTGTTTTAAAAAAGGATATACATACTGATATAGGCAGACACTCTCTGGAAGTATATAAAAGAAACTGGCAATGGTGTTTTATCTCCGAGGAGGGGAACTGAGTGGATCAGGAACATAATTTTCACTGTACATTCTTTTGCCTCTTCTGAATTTAGTAGCAAGTGTATATCCTACCTATTTTTTAATTTTTAAACTATGTTATATTTAAACAAATACTAACTTCATTCTTCACTTGTCAGTCAATATTATATTAATGCTCCAAAGAAAAAGAGTGGTCTCCTACTTGTCACTCAATACTATATTAATGGTCCAAAAATGGAGGTCAGGAACCCCACGCTGTCCTCTGCAAGCCAAATACTTTTACCTAAGCAGGCCCATCAAGTGATTTTTGGGACCTAGCACAAAGTCTGGCTGTAGCTTCCAGCTTTTCAAAGAACATCTAGTTTTTGTTTTTGTTTTTTAAGAATATCTAGTTTTGAAGCAACACTTCCACATCAACACCATTCTCACAGGACCCCATGGGACCACATCACTTATGCAAAGAAACCTGGAACCAAACTGGCTGAATAGTTAGCAAAAGAATAATTTTACTTGTCTGAACAAAGCAGGACCAACCAAATGATTTTTTTTTTTTTTTTAATTTAGAAGAAGGTTTAGAGAGCAAATTAGTTTCTCATTATACAGTTAATACACATTGTTTTGTGACATTGGTTGCCCACTCCATGAGATGTCAACACTCTCCCCTTCTCAATCTTGGGTTCCCCATTACCAGCTTTCCTGTCCCCTCTTGCCTTCTAGTTCTTGCCCCTGGGCTGGTGTGCCCATTTAGTCTTATCTTGTTTTACGAGCCTGTCTAATCTTTGGCTGAAGGGTGAACCTCAGGAATACTGAGTTTAAAGGGTGTCCGGTGCCATACTCTCGGGGTTTCTCCATTCTCTGACAGATCAGTAAGTCTGGTCTTTTTTTGTGAGTTAGAATTTTGTTCTAAATTGCTCTCCAGCTCTGTTCGGGATCTTCTATTGTGATTTCTGTCAGAGCAGTTGATGGTGGTAACATATGATTTCTTAATGTTCTTTCCATGCTAAAAGCCATGATCCTATGCCATTTAAGCCAGTAGATAACAATAGCTATATAAACAAACTTATAAGAAAAAAAAAAGTTTGTTTTACTTACAGAGGCCAAACTTTGTGCAGAACCTGAGTATTTACTGAAAAGTCCTCCATTAGCATAGTTACAAGACTGAGATCCTTTGTCTTTGGCAGAACTCAAAGACAATGTCAAATTCTGTCTACTGCTGGAACAACTTGACCCTATCAAACCAAACACATATTAAAGGTATCAGTTATTGCAATGATAAATTTCAAAGTTTATATTAATTCAAAAAGCTTCTGATTTTAAAACACACGTCACAGAATTGTGTAAATTACTAAATGTATACCATTATTAAAAACTATACCTCTGCATAATGATTTTTTTTATTGTGCTTTAAGTGAAAGTTTACAATTCAAGTTAGTCTCTTGTACAAAAATTTATACATACATTGTTATGTGACCCTAGTGGCTCTCCCTATACTGTGACATCACACTCCTCCTTTCCACCCTGGATTTCCTGTGTCCATTCAACAAGTTCCTGACCCTCTCTGCCTTCTCATCTCACCTCCGGACAGGAGCTGCCCATTTAGTCTCATGTATCTACTTGAGCTAAGAAGCACAGTCATCACGAGTATCATTTTATGTCCCATAGTTCAGTTTAATCTTTGTCTGAAGAGTTGGCCTTGGGAATGGTTTCAGTTCTGGGCTAACAGAGAGTACGGGGGCCATATCTTCTGGGGTCCCTCCAGTCTCAGTCAAACCATTAAGTCTGGTCTTTTTACTAGAATGAGTTCTGCACCCTACTTTTCTCCTGCTCCATCAATGACTCTCTGTTGTGTTCCTTGTCGAGTTGCATAATGTCTTTAACACTGCAAAAATTCGCTTCTGAGGACTAGATGGTGCCCAGCTACCATCAGTGACTGCCCTGACAGGGAACACAACAGAGAGTCCCTGACAAAGCAGGAGAAAAGTGGGGTACAGAACTCAAATTCATGTAAAAAGACCGACTTAATGGTCTGATTGAGACTAGAGGAACTCTCGAAGACATGGCCCCCGGACTCTCTGTTAACCCAGAACTAAAACCATTCTGGAAGCCAACTCTTCAGACAAAGATTAGACTGGACTATAAAACATAAAATAATACTCGTGAAGAGTGTGCTTCTTAGTTCAAGTAGATATACAACACTAAATGGGCAGCTCCTGTCCAGAGGCGGGATGAGAAGGCAGAAAGGGACAGCAGCTGGTTGAACAGACACAGGAAACCCGAGGTGGAAAGGGGGAGTGTATTGTCACATTATAGGGATTGCAACTAGTGTCACATAACAATATGTGTATAAAGTTTTGTATGAGAAATTAACTGGAGCTGTAAACTTTCACCTAAAGCACAAAATAAAAACAATTGCTTCTGAAATGAAGAGCAAAATATTCACATCATTAGGGCAATATTTCAATGGTCTGTTGTAATCAGTACAAAAATACTGACACCTATGAACCTTCAAATTATAAATTTAACAAAATATAAGCAAATCTTTCCTAAATTACATTTAAACCTCATCCATATTGCATTATATTACAATCAGTTTTTTGTGTTGAACATTTTATTGTGGTTTGGGTACAATTTGTTTTTTATATTTCTCTCTCCCATACCCATTGATCCATTCTTCTAGGGTAGATGTCATATCATGATTTAGTGTATCTTAATACATTAAGATACTTTTGGATTCAAATCTACTTACAAGTTATACAACCCTAGGACGTCACTTAATTTTTCTGTATCTCAGTTTCTCCTATCTACAAAACAAGGATGATAATATAGGATTATAGTCCTAATTCAGAGGATTGCTATAAAGGTTAAATAAAGCATCGAATATACAGCACTAAGCACTGCACCTGACAACTAATAAAACCTCAGTAAGTGAGAGCCATTGTTATTGCAATGTTTAATGTACCTGGTACAAAAGTCACTAAATATTTGCTGAACAAGGAATCATAAAACTATATGATACATTAAATAATAAAAACAAAAAAATCTAGCATGCTCAAGAAATAATTTTTATTGATATAACCTGGCAATATATGCCATATCCCTAACAAAAATTACAGACCCTTTAAAGGCCAGAAATTAGACTTATAGAGCTTTATATACTAAGGAAATAATCAGACAAATACCTACAAAGGTATATACAAAGCAAGAAAACACAAACATCCTAAAGGGAACAATAGGGGACTGTCCAAATAAGTTATTGTACATTTGTATAAATTTAAAACTAGGTACCCATTAAAAATGATAGCATAGAGATATATTAATTAACCTGGAAAGACATTCTTATATACTGTTAAATATTTTAAAAGTAGATAACAAAAGGTATGATCACAATTTTACTTAAAATATATAAATCATTTACTTGTATATAATCTAAATTTGTCCTAATATGATAACTTAAATGCAAGTATAAATGAATAGATATATGGCAAATTATTATAGTAGTTATTTTTGAGTAGCAGAATTTTAAGTGATTTTAATTTTTTGTTTGCTTACCTGTATCTTTCTAAAATGAATATCTAATATTTATGAGTTAAGTAATAAGGAAGAAATTTTTAGAGACTAAAACACTGAAATCATTGCACTCTAGTTATGATTTACACATAAAATTTTCTTTGTAGACTTAATTCAGCTATTTCCACATACCTTTGTCTGATGCTGCTCTTTTAGTGTATTCAAGTATGAGGTGCTCTGGTTGCCAAGGTAATGTTTTTCCTTTCTTCTTTCCACGTCTTCTTTTAAAGTGATGGGCCAGAAAAATTACAGATACAGCACTCAATGCAGTTACCACGAACAATTTTTTAATCCCTGGTGAAAATTTGATCTGGAAAAGATACAGTTAGATTGAAAAAAAATTCTTTTATTTGTTAACTTAAAATAAGAACTTGGGCACAAAACATACTCTTGTTAAGTGCCATCGACTCAGTTCCGACTCATAGCGACCCTATGCACAACAGAACAAAACACTGCCTGGTCCTGCGCCATCCTCACAATTGTTGCTGTGCTTCAGCTCATTGTTGTAGCCATTGTGTCAATCCATCTGGCTGAGGGTCTTCCTCTTTTTCACTGACCTTCTACATTACCAAGCATGATGTCCTTCTCCAGGGACAGATCCCTCCTGATAACATGTCCAAAGTATGTGAGACATAGTCTCGCCATCCTTGCTTCTGAGGAGCATTCTGGCTGTATTTCTTCCAAGACAGATTGGTTCGTTCTTTTTGGCAGTCCATGGTATGTTCAATATCCTTTGTCAACACCATAATTCAAAGGCGTCAATTCTTCTTCGGTCTTCCTTATTCATCATTCACCTTTCGCATGCACATGTGGTGACTGAAAACACCATAGCTTGGGTCAGACACACCTTATAATCCTCAAGGTGACATCTTTGCTTTTCAACACTTTAAAGAGGTTTTTGCAGCAGATTTGCCCAATGCAATGCATCTTTTGATTTCTTGACTGCTGCTTCCAGGGGTGTTGATTGTGGATCCAAGTAAAATGAAATCCTTGACAACTTCAATCTTTTCTCTGTTTATCATGACGTTGCTTATTGGTCCAGTTGTGACGATTTTTGTTTTATTTATGTTGAGGTGTAATCCATACTGAAGGCTGTGGTCTTTGATCTTCATCAGTAAGTGCTTCAAGTCCTCTTCACTTTCCAGCAAGCAAGGTTGTGTCATCTGTATAACACAGGTTGTTAATCAGTCTTCCTGCAATCCTGATGCCCCGTTCTTCTTCATATAGTCCAGCTTCTCAAATTAACTTGCTCAGCATACAGATTGAATAGGTATGTGAAAGAATACAACCCTAACTCACACCTTTCCTAACTTTAAACCACGCAGTATCCCCTTGTTCTGTTCAAACGACTGCCTTTTGACCCATGAACAGATTCCTCATGAGCACAATTAAGTGTTCCAGAATTCCCATTCTCTGCAATGTTATCCATAATTTCTTATGATCCACACAGTTGAATGCCTTAGCATAGTCAATAAAACACAGGTAAACATCTTTCTGGTATCCTCTGCTTTCGGCCAGGATCCATCTGACATCAGCAATGATATCCCTCGTTCCACGTCCTCTTCTAAATTCACCTTGAATTTCTGGCAGTTCCCCATTGACATACTGCTGCAGCTGCTTCTGAATGATCTTCAGCAAAATTTTACTTGCATACAATATTAATGACATTTTTCAATAATTTCCGCATCTGCCTGGATCACCTTTCTTGGGAATAGGCATAAATATGAATCTCTTCCACTTGGTTAGTCATGTAGCTGTCTTCCAAATTTCTTGGCATAGACAAATGAGCACTTCTAGTGCTGCATCCATTTGTTGAAACACCTCAGTTGGTATTCCATCAATTCCCAGAGCCTTGTTTTTTGCCAATGCCTTCAGTGTGGCTTGGACTTCTTCCTTTGGTACCATCGCTTCCTGATCATATGTTACTTCCTCAATTGGCTGAACGTCGACCAATTCTTTTTGCTACAGTGACTCTGTGTATTCCTTCCATCTTCTTTTGATGCTTCCTGAGTCATTTAATATTTTCCCCGTATACTCCTTCAGTATTGCAACTCAAGGCTTGAATTTTTTCTTCAGTTTTTTCACCTTGAGAAATGCTGAGGTGTTCTTCCCTTTTGCTTTTCTGTCTCCAGGTCTTTGCACATGTAACCATAATACTTTGCCTTCTTGAGCTGCCCTTTAAAATCTTCTGTTCAGCTCTTTTACTTCATCATTTTTTTCCTTTTGCTTTAGCTACTCAACGTTCAAGAGCAAGTTTTAGAGTCTCTTCTGACATCCATTTAGGTCTTTTCTTTCTCTCCTGTCTTTTTAATGACCTCTTGCTTTCTTTATGTATGATGTCCTTGACGTCATTCCACAACTTGTCTGTTCTTCGGTCATTAGTGTTCAACATGTCAAATCTGTTCTTGAGGTAGTCTCTGGTGGGATATACTCAAGGTCATACTTTGGCCTTTGTGGACTTGTTCTAATTTTCTTCAGTTTCAACTTGAACTTGCACATAAGCCATTGATGGTATGATCTGCAGATGGTCCCTGGCCTTGTTCGGACTGATGATATTGTGCTTTTCCATCATCTCTTTCCACAAATGTAGTCGATTTGATTCCTGTGTATTCCATCTAGCAAGGTCCATGTGTATAGTTGCCATTTATGTTGGTGAAAAAAGGTATTTGCAATGAATAAGTCATTGATCTTGCAAAATTCAATCATGAGATCTCCGGCATTGTTTCTGTCACCAAGGCCATATTTTCCAACTACCAGTGCTTCTTTATTTCCAACTTTCACATTTCAATCACCAGTAGTTATCAGTGCATCCTGATTGCATGTTCGATCAATTTCAGACTACAGAAGGTGATAAAAATCTTCACTTTCTTCATCTTTGGCCTTAGTGGTCGATGCGTAAATTTGAATAATAGTCATATTAACTGGTCTTCCTTGTAGGTGTATGCATATTATCCTATCACTAACAGCGTTGTACTTCAGGATAGATCTTGAAATGTTCTTTTCGACCATCAATGCAACGCCATTCCTCTTCAAGTTGTTATTCCCAGCATAGCAGACCATATGACTGTCCAATTCAAAATGACCAATACCAGTCCATTTCAGCTTACTAACGCCTAGGATATCGATCTTTATACGTTTCATTCCATTTTTCACAATTTCCAACTTTCCTAAATTTGTACTTCGTATGTTCCATGTTCTGATTATTAACGGATGTTTGCAGCTGTTTCTTCTCATTTTGAATCTTGCCACATCACAAATCAGAGTCCTAAAAGCTTGATTCTATTCACGTCATTAAGTTCAACTCTACTTTGAGGAGGCAGCTCTTCCTCAATTGTATTTTGTGTGCCTTGAGGCAATCAAAACCTGAGGAGTTCTTGTTCTGGTATTATATCAGTGTTCCGCTGCTATTCATAAGGTTTTCACTGGCTGATTCTTTTCAGAAGTAGTCCGCATGGTCCTTCTTCCTAGTATGTCTGAGTCTGGAGCTCAGCTGAAACCTGTCTGCCATGGGTGACCCTGCTGGTATTTGAATACCAGTGGCATACCTTCCAGCATCACAGCAACACACAAGCCCCCACAGTATGACAAACTGACAGACGTGTGGGGGAATCTTATTCTTAAGCTAATCTATTTCTAAATACTACCAAGAGAAAATAATTTTACTTCCAATGACACCTAGCCCAATTTGATTGTTAACAATAAATTAAAAATGTACCAATTCACTATCTACTGCTCTGAAGTGTTCAGGTAAATAATATTACCCAAAAAGTCACAAAATAACTTAATCCCAGTAATACTATTTGAGCAACTAATGATATAATTCATGCAAATTTATCTTCTGGCTGAATCATAGCAAGATTTTTGAATACAGGAATGAATAAATCAAACTTTTACATTAAACAAAGTTTTTTTAAACTATCTGGAAATTTGGGCAAATAGAAGTTAACTCAGGAGGTGGGGCCAAGTTGGCGGACTAGTCAGATACTTCCGGTGAACCCTCTTACACAAAGACCCGAAAAAACAAGTGAATTGATTATATATGCCAATCTGGGAGCCCTGAACATCAAAGGCAGAGTTGAGAAACTGGACTGAATGGCAGGGGGAGGAAGAGACGGTTTGGAAGCAGCGAGGAGTTGCCAGACCTGACCCGGCGACAGCCTGAGCCCTTCAAGCCTGAGCAGCTTGGGGGAGAGCAGTGAGGCAGGCAAGCAGCGGTGCTTGGGAGGTGCGTTTTCCACACCGGCAGAGACCCAGCGCCAGAGACTCTACACGGCCATCCAGAACAAGTGAGAAACAGCCCTGGATCGGCAAAAGATAAGTAATTGCGTACGGCCTACCGGGCAGATCAAAACCACCTCCCTTAGGGAAAAACCTCTCTCCCATTTAGTACCCCACTCCCTGCTCTGCACTGGGTCCCAGACCAGCTTCAGCAATTGCCAAGTCCCCTGGGCCAGAAGTAGGATCCGTCACATGCCCGGAGCCATTCTCCCTGCCATGGAGAGTGAACAAATTAACAAACACAGGAAAAAACATACTGCTGGCTCCCCTAAGCTGGGAACCCAGGGTAGGCACAGCTCCTTTGCCTAGGTACAGACATAAGGAATCCACGGACTCTGAGTGCCTTTCCCCCTACATAGACTTGTGTGGGCCCATTTCAACAGCATAGGCCTTCGTTACCGCAGTACAACAGGGTATATACCGGAAGTCTAACTTCAACTGTTTCAGCTGTGAAGTGGCAGGTTCTTGACATCTGATGCTGCTCTGCCCATTAAACAGGATCTTCACCTACCCAAATCAGGGGTCTGAGGACTAGTGGCTCCACCCATGCCACCTAGGCACCTGTGATAGGGGCCCATGAATAAGAGGTGCCTCCCAGTCCTTCGAGACAACACCATTAGGTGCTCACAGTCCGGCTACAAAACCACCCACCCAAGCACTCTAGGGAACAGGGACATGCCCTCGTCCTGGATACTCGGGGGCAGCTGTCAGCCCCCTGCCTTGCTCAGTGTGTGTCCCCCTGCTGCAGCCAGATGCCTGTGCCTACACTCGTGCCTGTCTAGGACTGTAAGTGAGAGCCTACACCACACACTTGGTGGCTATCTACCTGGCCAAGTGAGCTGAATCCATACAGGAGGTGTGGGTGGACGCCTGAGCTCACATACATAGTAACAGATCTTACTACCTGGTGACAGGACATTAGAGCTTCAAAGATGCCAATAATCAAACTAGCTCATACAAGCAGCCTATTTGGGCATACAAAACAAAAGAAGCTAGGACACAATAAGCAAACATAAAATAAATGAATATAAT